TAAATGGAATACTATTCCTACCTATATGTTTGATGGACTTGAAAATTCCAACGTTTCATTTATAAGTTTATCGCATAACAACTTGCATTCATTTAATGGTACTCGACTTCTCCAACGAATTCCTTACGTCAAAAACCTATATTTGAGTGGAAACCCAATTCGTCAAAGTCATATTGATTTGAACAACATGGCCTATATGATCGAATTAAGTCTTGAAGGTACATACCTACAGAGAGTCCTAATTTCTGCAATAATCAAGGAAGGAGTCTTTTGCCACGATTGCAAACTCTCTACATGGGCCAAACATCACTGAGAGCCGTCTTCATGAAAGATTTTACCTGTTTGCCAAATCTTCGGAAATTATCTCTTGTGTTTGCAAACATTAAAATTATTCCAAACAACACCTTTGCTGCCTTGCCAATGCTTGAAACCCTCTTTCTAGTGGGTCTCACTAGACTACGAAGAATCGATTATCTTGCTTTAAACTCGACTTCCTTGCAGACCCTGTATTTCAGTTCTAAATTGTATAACTTTGATGAAAAAGGAAGATATAGCTATGATATGTTTAAGTTTGCTCCAAATATAAGAGACCTCGACTTCAGAAACAATAAGATTTCAAGTGGTGTAACTTTGAAGAGAATTTTGCGGTTCTCTGTCAGACTGGAAGTACTTAACCTCGGGGGTTGTGGATTAAAAGACCTTGCGCCTGGTACTTTTGACACAATTTTAAAAATTCGTATAATAAAAATGCAAAATAACAATTTACTTGGATGGAATCGGACCATATTTAACAAATTAACACATCTACAAGAACTGGACATCTCTGGAAACAACATCGCCGTGGTCAATCGCTCCTCTCTCGAGTTCACAAGAAAAACAAGACTACGAGAGATCGACTTGTCCAACAACCCGTTCTCATGTTCCTGTCAACTTCTCTGGTTCCGGGACTGGTTAAAATCCACGAAAAATGTAACAGTGGCCCAGTATCCCCAGCGATATGTTTGTGAATCACCATCTGCCTGGAACAAGAAATTATTGGTCTCTTTTAATTATACCACCGTGGACTGTAGAGAGGTAAACCCCTGGGTATGGATCGGCAGTCTTCTAGGCTCTGTCTTTTTCCTTTGTATTATGTTGATTATCCTTATATACTGGCATCTTCCGACTGTCAGAAATATCATCTATTTGATTCAGTTACGTAGGAAAGGTTATGTAAGAATTATCAACTGATTATCTGTTCGATTGCTACATAATAAGTTGTGACTCTGATGAGAGTTGGGTGTTCCACACACTGGTGCCTAAATTGGAGGGAGAGCTTTTCTATAGTCTTTGTAAACCTTCACGAGATTTTGACGTAGGCGTTGACATCGTCGGCCAGATCATTGAGAAAATGCAGGAAAGTAAGAAAATCATTTTGGTTATGTCCAACGAGTTTGCGCAGGACGAATGGTGTCAGTTCGAGGTTGCAAAAGCACAGGAGCTGATCCGCAATCAAGGGACAGAGGCGGTAGTAATTATCATGTTGAGTGATATTGATAACAAACATATGACGTCCACCATCAAAGAAATGCTACGTGGAAATTCTTCTGCAACGTGGGTACCTGGAAGAATTCTCAAACAGCTCTTCTGGAGCATAGTTTTGACAGCCATAGAAAAGCCCTTTGGAAATCCCCCTATTGCCGTTTTATGACAAAAGTGTGCTTGAAAGCTAAACTAGCTTTACTTAAATATTTACTTCATAGTGCTGTTTTATATATTCCAAGGCCGTAACTACCATTGTGGCAAGTGAGGCAAATGCCTCACTAAATTTTTAGAGTTTTCTTAAATGTGAAAAAGTATTACATTGAAACTTATGGATTACTAGTATGTGTGTCTTCATGTTAAATTAATATTTTCAACTTTTGTTTCAGTTTCTGTAAATCGTTCATATCTCATCAGGTGCCTCATTTTCATTTGGAACGCATGTAAAATATAATTCAAAATGTTTGTTTTGTAAATTGTTTGATTGTTTAACATCCCTTCCAGAGACATAAAAAATATATCTCTGTCCCTGCTAAGACTTTTTCATTAATATTGAGACACCAGTACTTTCCGGTGGAGGGCTGCAAGTTTTGAATTTATACATGTACAGTGGACCCTCATATATCCCGATGCTTCAGTATCCAGACGATTTTTTATCGGAACGTAATTTTTTAACGTTGTTTTGTTCTAATTAACTGGTAATTCTGGTATCCGGACGCTTCACATATCCGGACAAATTGACTAGGAATCAAAGCGTCCGGATAAATGAGGTTCCACTGTACTGGGCTTTCAGGGTCACTGAAGATGATTGAACAGTGAGAGATGTTTTTGTGCCATCATACTGTGACATAGGACCTAGCTTTTTACGGTCTCGACTGAAGAACTGGTCTCAACATCCCGCAGTGGGATTCGAACCCGCAATGTTAGGATCAACTCCTTAGTTTTCGACTCTAGAGCATACCCTCTAACAAAACGTAAAAACTTTCTAAGATTAAATCTTTTATTTTCTAATATCCAGGTCTCAGGACCCCCCTCTCCTGGAACCCCCCATCACTGGACATCACGTACTACCCTTGCCCCATCTGGGACTAGTAATGCCCAGAACCCTTGCCTCACTAAAAATGTGAGCCTAGTTACGGCCTTGTATTCGTTATTGCAGCCCGGAGGACCGGGCTGCTCTATACATGTAAGTTTAAGTGTTGGTGTATGGGGATTGGGGCGGGAGTAGTTATTCAGAATTAAAGGTTTTCTAAACATTGGAAAGATTGTTAATCAGATTGTTCTTTCCTTGATAAATTAGGAGATACATAATATATTTACTTCCATAAAGTGAATCTGTAAAAATATATATGTTTTTCATATTTAATATATAAAGTTGCTTATCATTTACTATAGAAAAAATGACAGGTCCCTTTTTTTAGAACATCGAATTTTACTTCTCGCATAAAAACGTACTCTGCACAGTTCGCGTTTTATATTCGGAAATTGAAAATTAAAATACATTTTTGAATATAGTTGATGCATGTGTCTAACTTCAATTTATATTTTATGCAACTAACATTTACTTGAGGAATTGATCAAGTTTTAAATGGTACCGTTTTTGTTTGATTTTTTATCCGACTATGAGTTTTCAAAATGTTCTCCACTATCGTCTCCATCAATTAGACGCATGACTTTTCACACATATCTAAGCGGTTTGATGAAGAAGACTTATTTCCATTGTTTACTTTATATATTTCCCGGGCGACAATTGATGGTTGCATCAATGTTTTCTTGTAACTTGTTGAAATATGGAAGTAAAACACATTTCACATTCAGCTTAAGATATTCCTTCAGAGATAAATTAAGAATTTAAGAGTGTGTTTACAGAAATGAAAGAAATGTTATATGTATGATATTGTAGGGAAAAAATGAAAATAAATGTTATTTGAACAGTTTAACTTTTGCATTTCTCTGAAACGTAGATGACTGCGATTATGGAGAAGGGAAGGGGTATACAATATGATTCGGAGTAAGATGCGTTGACTAGTAAAAATCATGAAAGAAACACGGGTCAGTATATATTACAAAGTAAACGGAAGTATTTCGAAACACAGAAACAAACGAAGTCATTCTTTTGATACCTTTACTTTTTGTAGGATCTTGATATACAATACTAGGACCGCGCAGATGTAGCGTCAGGATAAAATACTTACCAAATTAAAAAAATACAAATGATCATGCCACACAGCCTTATTTCCTCAGTGTTCTTACTATGACATTCGTACACTTCTTGAATTGCCTGTTTTGCAAAAAATATGCTAAAAATACAAGGAAATTAAAGCTGGTGAATATGTATATAAATGCATATTTAATTATTTCAAAATGGAATTTGGGGAACTTCTGAAAAGTAATTTGGGGAATTTCTGGGACGTTAGATCTTAGCCAAACATTATAAAAATCAGAGAATTTGTCCGATTTAAGTCTAGTAATGTTCTGGTAAATTGGTGAAGTATTGTGTCCCTCTGTTCTATTACGGTAGATTTTAATTATCATTATTTTTAAAACAAAGAATGAACCAAGAAATTACTAAATTCATTTGAATAGCAAATAGTTTCACCGAGCGCAATTGATATTACGGTTTACTTTCACTTTCCTATTTTCCACGAGTCGAGAACCTGAAACATGTTTGGTTATACTTAGTTTCAATATGCTATGAATTCACACTATATTTGATTTATTTATTTATTTTAAATGTGTTTAATGGTCAATAATAACCATAGAAAATTCTTGTTTTTTAAAGAATACTAAATGTCGAGATCTTGAAAGCAAATTTAATGGTATACGAAACTGAATAAAGGAAAGCACTAAATTTACCAAAGCTTGCCACGTGCATAAGAAAATTTAAGTGTTATAATTCTAGGTTCAACCTATCCTTAATTTGATTGTGAAATTCAAATCGTGATTACTGATTGCAAATAGCGTGCACATTAGTTGTAATGAAATGAAAACAATGAAAAGAACCGCTGTTTGACAAGTCGAGAAAGTGACAACACTGACGGTTTTTTCACGACAAAGTACACATATTTGCGGTTAATGAACGCGACAAACGTCTGAAGACAAATTTTATCGTTTGTTTTGTTTACTGATAAATAGATAAAATTAACACCTGTCCAAAAATCACGAAAATCTGCAATTTCCTCTTTCCGGGCCTTTTTAATCCTTGAAATACGTAAGTTGAATAAAAATAAACCTAACTGATCTTTGTTGACGGTGGTCACTGTAGACCGACAAATAAATCATACACCAGGTAAGGCCAAAAACTTCGTCATTATGCTGTCATGTCAATCTTTTTTCGTGAATGAGCATTATGACGCCGTTCACGGGGTCACGCCTCCCGGATGTGTCCTAAGACAAGTATTGGCTACTCCACTTCAATAAACCGTAATAGAAGTATGCGCTGCTAAGTTTCTGTTATTGCATCAATGATTTTGGAAACAAAAGAAGTATAAATGTGTTATAGATAATTTTAAAAGGAGAGTATTAAAAATGCTTTGAAACAGTTTCACAAAATTTGACAGCTTATTCTCTGTACCTGGAATATCTCTTAAAGTGAATTAAAACGTGGATTTATAAAAGTTATAAGGACACATTTGTTTCAGATTGGTAAGGTATTATTTAATCATTTTTTTTTTCTAGATTTCAATTTAAAGTTTTTGAAATTTTTGAAATATTTTATTTAGAGTTTTGATATTGTCAAAATAAAAAAAATGAAGTGAATAATCTTTGTTTAAGTGATAAGAATATCAAAAGGAAGGAAGACATACTACACCATCAAACGGCACCTACATAAACGTCATGTGTTGTTTATGAACTTATTGTCAAGTGCTGGCATTTTTACTGTTGTAGGACAACATGAAGAAACTCCTGTGTGTGATAGAAGCTTTAGTGCTTGTGTCCATCATTCCTGAAACTTGTAAGCGTCATCCTTTAATTTTTATACATTATAATATAAAAACGTTATTTGGAGATACCTTTAAGTTCACGTTGTATAGAGAGATTCATTGTTCACCTTCGTGAACCCAATTAATTAGCATGACAGATAGAAAGTATAACAACTGATTTTTGTTTCCCATGGGGAATCCCCAGGGTTGAATTTACATGAAATTCCTTGATCAAATTGCCATACACTTTTCTATTTAATGAAGCAAACGAGTTGAATTTAAAGTACCTTTTTCATCATTCTAAATTAATTTTCATTTTAAATAGCTTGTTATGGAGGAGAGGAGAGCGTTTATCAACAAATTGAGAAAGCGCTTTGGCAGTTACAGATGAAGGGGGATATACACAGAGCATTAGGGAAAACAGAAGTCTGGAATTCAAACATACCAAGAAATGCCCCCCTTAACCCTCCCCGCCACGTGATACAGTTAGCTGACACACGTGTGATGGGACCTACCACGATCAAACCAACTACAAATAAGATCAAGCGGGCAGCTTTCGCTCGCAGAGCCATTGCACGCCAAGTCACTAGCCACCACACACCACCCATTTCTCAACCGCAAAATCAGGACAAAATTTCTCCCGACAGAATCTATTCTAACAAGATGAACAGAAACACAGCAAGAGGATATGGTAGTTCACTGACAAAACTTATAGCGAAAAAGATTAAATTCAGCCCTCCTCCTGAACCTAAACTTTCTTCTGAACAAAACATCGATAGAATTTTGGGACAAATATCCCAAAATAGAAACAGCAATATACCAAAGAATTTCATTCCATTTCCTTCACCACCTAACATTAATATCCCCAAAATTATAAGCACGCCACAACCAGTGGTTAAAAACAGTTTCAAACCATCACAATCAGCTTTTGCCAGGAAAGGAAATAGAATTCCTGTCATTGTGATCCAGCAAACCAAAAAATCGGATCTACCATCCCCAACTTTTTCTATCGTCGCTCCAAGTTTGGGACGATCACCTTCATCCTTCCGATTCAGCAACAAAGAAGTTTCTAACAATCAATTGAATGACAAAAACGTCTTTGAAGACACACCCGGCTTTGGAAATGAATTCAAGGATTTCGAAATCAATGATGTTCCTCAGATTATTGTTGAAAAGACACCAACAACGTCAAGCTCTATTATTGTCAAAGAGCAAGACATTGCTCAAAAGAGTAGTCAGAAATCTTTGGTGAATACAAAATCAGCTATCAGGCCTCCCCCACCTGTTAATATTCCAAACAAATTTATAACACAAACAGTATCAACAGGACAGCCAACAATTTCAACAGAAGGACCAAGTAAAACACAAAGCATTGGTGCAAACCAAGACCAAAGCCATTCACTGAGCAAAGTTAAACAAGCTTCAATTGCAAAGGACATTGAAATTTCTATGGATACGCCAGTCTCCAGATCAGATATTGCAATAAAAGATACTCCCCTGAAAAGTCTACAATCTAGACCTAACGTTCAGGCAGCAGGGATTATAAAACAAGAAATAGAAAAGCCACAAATCCAAGTCGTACAAGTCCAACAGTTAAGACCTATTTCAGTCTCTCAAGCTGTGAACACAAAGCCAAAACCAGTGGACATAACAAAATCCGATAAAGCAAAGGATGAAGAATTCCCAGTAGATCCATCTACTTCTCGATTCACAGACCAAACAACAAAAACAACAACGACAACAACAACAACAGTAAAACCAGTCAAAGTGAGCATCTCCAGTGGTCCATCTCAAGGACTTCGACAAGGGAGTAGAGGTATATCCAGAGGATCTTTCAGGGGCATTCGTCCTAACGGTAGAGGCGTGCGGCCGATCGGTAGAGAAGTCCCAGTGTCGAGGGGATCTACACGAGGCAGACAACCCACCGGACCAGGGAGATCAGTTCCAGTCAGATCGATAAATATCCCCACAACGCCGTCATCTGTGTCGGAAAATAAAATACACATACTTGAGACCCCGGCTGAAATTATTCCAGTAGACGTAACAGATTCTCCAAGTGAACTAACAACAGGTCTCATAACAAATCCAACGACGACAACAGCGAAACCTATTACAGAAATTAAGTCAAAAGATTCTTCACAGGAACCGCAAGAAGGGATGACAAGAGATTTTTCCCGAGGAAGTTTTAGGGGTATTCGTAAAAACAGTCGAGGAGTTCGACCGAATGGAAGTAAAGGTCCTGTTTTGAGAGGGTCTTCCAGAGGTATTCGTCGCAATATTATTGGGGTTTCGAGGAATTCTATCAATATTCCAAAACAATTATCACTACCAACGTTAGCAAAGACTGAGATAAATTCTAAATCAGTAACTACTCAAACATCGACGACACCATCAACAACTGAATCAACCACGCGACAACCTCCAGTCATGGAAACAGCACAGTTTGCAAGGAGACGTAGACCAGGACGTGTGGTAGTTAGCCGAGGTAATCCGATAGAGAGCAACAGAAACGAAAACACTCAACATGTTGTCGTTAATGAAAGAGTCCAAACAGACACAAGTGCTAATGAACCCAGTTCAACAACTACCACCACTTCCACCACCGCCTCAACAGAGCAACCACCGATAACCACCACCAGAAGTACTGCTGCCACCACCAATAGATCAAGGACACGTAGACCAGGAAGTGAGTGCTGAGATACTAGTACTTTATCTTAAATATTTTCAGCAGATTTTTTAATGATATTTGGGATCTGTAATAAACATTAGTTTATCCATTTTCAAATTGTATAATATTCTCCTTTCAGTGATGTCTCCGGAAGAAAAGAGACAAGCTTTAAGAAATTTCCAAGGAGTAAGTACTTTTTCCTACCATTGTATATCTGTTTGTTTGTTTGTCTGTCTGTCCGTAACACTTTCGTCGTAATTTTTTCCCGTAACTATTCTTTGCAGGTACATGAAATTTTAGTATACTCTTTGTTTTGGCATGCCATATAGTGGGATTAATTTTCACACGAATCCGAGCTCCTGCTTTTCCTGTTTATCTGTATGTCTGTCCTATATTCATATATATATATTCACATCAGAGCGGGGGTATAGATATGTCTAAGAGACTCCTTTTGGTATATGAATTTGTAACATAATGAATTTTATCCCTGCATTTGTTACGACAGGTGATCATTCTTCAGTTAAAATATATGCATGTGACGTCAATTGCAACATAGATAGTCCATGTGAAATAAGAAATGTGAGGAGTTCGAAAATGCAAATTAATAAATTTTTTTTCTATTTACAGTAAAGGATAAAACCCCAATCTCTTAAAGTGGATACAGAAATCCAGCTTTGACACAAAGCCATGCTGTGCAATATGTACTTCACCAGGAAAATACACCAGAGCGAGGCCAGAATGTTCGCCATGATGACTGTTTCGTATCAATCAACAGTAGATTGTCTCACCAATATTTTCAACTTATTTACCGCACATGTTCACTTTTTTTTTAATAAAACTGAGTTTTCTCAGAGACAACATGCAATATGTACTTCACCAGGAAATACACCAGAGCGAAACCATGATGACCTATTCGTGTCAATCAATAACTTATATTGTCTCACGTATATTTTTAACTTATTTATCGCACATGTTCACTTTTGATAATAAAACTGAGTTTTCTCAGAGACAACCTGTATGTGATTTTTCGAGGTGACGTAAGTCAGCCTCGATAGCTGCTCTATAGCTTCAATGGCGGAATCCTGTGATCACTACCATTTGCATTTTCTTATTGATCTCCGCTCTTTTGGACAATTCAGTACTCTTGTTGTTAAAAAATGATACCTTAGAAGGCAAGGATCAAATCAGAGATATGTTGCTAATATGAAACAATAGCACTTGCAAGATTGATTGGAAATATTAAAACGTTAATTTTTAGCAGTTCTCTAAGAAATATAGTCCTCTGATTATACATATATTGAAATCAGAATTTCAGTCACAAAACAAGATCTACAATGTATTTAATGCGATTTCCAAGCAACAAGTAGTGTTTTTATAGATTTAAAAATACTAAATACAAGTTCCTCTGTGGGAATAAGAATATGAAGAATTGAAGTATCCCTACGCACCGAACTATTTTAGCGAGGGTAAAATGTAAATAACTGGCTACCGCAGAGATCGTGACGTACATGTATGTGTATTGAACGTCAATCGCAGGCAAGGGAGAGAACAGAACAGTATATACTAAAACAAAACAGAAACAGGCGTTCTGCTTGAATTGAAACATGCAATTGAATGAATTTGGGGTTAACATAGAGGCGTCTGAGGCGCAATAGTCCCTACTGAGCTCCAAAATTCACCGTAACTTATTACAAAAGCGAAGGTATTTTCGCACTTTATGGTAAATATCACAAAGGCGAAGTTATTTTCACCCCTCTGTTTTTGTAATTCATTAAAAAATTTATTTAGAACGTAAAAATATCGGCCCTATTTTTTAAATCTCTTTGGTGTTATCACTGTCGAAAGCTCAGGTGAATAATAGCAGGGCACTTGTACCTTTTTCGTTGCATGCTAATGACCATTTTATCGAATACTCGGTCGGAACTCCTCTAGCATTTAAGATTCCGCATATGAAAAATTACGTTGTTAGAAGTCATCTGTCGATGTCATAGCATGATTCAATCATTTCTATTTTTAATTCATAAAGAGAGAAATAATTAGATCTATAAAGAATTTGAAAATGAACTTTAAAGAGGATGTAACAAAGTCTATCAGTTGAAACTTTAGAATGATAATAACGAACAATTTGTTTTCAAGCTATAGACATTTATAAAAAAGATGCTATTGATTTAACTGGAAAATATCAAATAATATATATTTTTAACTATATGATACCTTACATATGTATGCTAAGTTTTTTAATTTGATAGTAATAATGTATTTTAAACCTTAAAGCTAATAATACTGATAGATTTAGAATTGATGGACGATCCAATCACTAAAGTAAAATCACGAATCCCATATTCTTCTATTTGGGAAGTCAAATTTTAAAATGCGGTATTTATATATTTCTTCAAAATGTCAAAATAGGCCTGCTTTTGGCAAAAAAAAAAATTAAAGAGAGGCTAGGTTTTTTTATTGTATTAAATGCTAAGCTGCATCGATGATAAATGTTGTCTCCTGGCTCCGGCGCACTTTTGATCCTAATTTCCCTTTTACCTAATGAATTACTAGTATTTATGTAAAAGTGAGAATGAGATCAAGAGTGAGCTCATCTATAGCCTATAAGTTGTATGGCCCCAGAGTCTGCATACAACAATTTCAAAAATATATGACACATTATTTTCTTTTTTATACATTCATATATGTATGGCAAAGATTCTTGTTAGCATTTCTATATTTGTATAACTGAGCATTGCCCAACCCTCTAAATCCGTCACTATACCCTTACTCCATCACTTTCCGGGAACTCCGTGCAATTTGTAAACGAAAGCGATTGTAACGTAATTTATACATGCTGAAAATCTACAATAACATTCAAAGCTACTACAACAAGTAAGTGAAAAAAGCGTCTAAACAAATATACGCTAATTTAATTATAGGTATCATTTTTTATGTGAAATCAGTGAGCATCTTTCCCCTATATATGTGCTCTTCCATCGAAACTGCATTAACATGGTCATTTTTACCTGTCAGTCATTTTTATGAAGGTCTATTACAAAGGTTCAACATGACTACATTTTTACATATAAAATATGTCATAAAAACGTTATTTGTGTACATTGCTGATGCCTTTATAAAAATGTAATTTAATACTATTTGAAATCTTTAAAACAATTTTTCATGTTTAGAATTTAAGAAAAAGGTATGAAAAGTTTAACTAGGGTGTATGTGAAGGGGGGTCTTTAATATGTTGGCATATTGTAGAGGACCCTGGTGAGAGAGTTAGGATACATTGGACAAAATGACACTGCCAGGATACACGTTCTATTTAGCGGTTTTATATAAGTCCAGTGTCTGCACTTTTTTGTAAATATCATTAAATATAATGTTCATCTTTATTACTGTGTAACAAGAAAACAAATCAAAATATAATTTGTAAAGAAATGCGAGGTGTTTTCCGCTTATGGTGACGGGTACTTAAGGATAACTAGTTCAGTTTTAATAGATCAAATAAGTTATAAGATGCATTGCCGTGTTGCTCACATTTTTCTTTCCAGTGATTTTCATTAGGGTTTCTTCTAGATTTAAATTTTTGTATGTGCCAGTTACTTGGGGACGAATTTCACATTTTACTGGACGTCACCTCGATTCAGTACTTTCAGTACTTTGATTTTTAAATAGCATCGATGAATAGAATCAATTCGCATACATCCTATTAGTTCTGTAAGTGACGATGATTGATCTATTGTGGTAACATACCGTTGTCATGCTTGCTGCATAAGGAATTGTATGTAAATAACCCTGCTTGATAGGTCATTAATTACTTATATAGAATATGTGGGATTTTTTCTAGACTAGATCAACTGCAAACACTCATTGGCTATAAAAAATATAACTTTAAAGATATGTACTCGTATAACATTGTATACAAACACATTTTATGCCCTAATAGGGGATATACCATCTTTTCCATGAAAGTCGTGGTTTTTGGCTCACCTGAGCCAAAGGCTCGCGTGAGCTTTTCTGATCACATTTTGTCCTTCCGTCCGTCTTTTTTCGACTTCTTCTCAAGAACCACTGGACCAATTTTAACCAAACTTGGTACAAAGCATCCTTGGGTAAAGGGGAGTTTGAATTTTTAGAATGAAGGGCCAAGTCCCCTCCCTAGGAGAGATAATCAGGAAAAGACAAAGATAGGGTGAGCCTTTAAAAAATCTTCTCAAGAACCATTGGGCTAGAAAAGCTGAAACTTATATGGAAGCATCCTGGGATATTGTAGATTCTAAATTGTTCAAATTATGACCCCCGGGGGAAGGGCAAGGCCACAATAGGGAATCAAAGTTTTACATAGAAATATATAGAAAAAAAACTTTAAAATCTTCTTCTCAAGAACCACTGGGCCAGAAAAGCTGAAACTTATGTGAAACTCAAAGCATCCTGGGATAGTGTAGATTCTAAATCATACAAATCGTGACCTCCGGGGGTTGGGTGGGGCCACAATAAGGAATCGAAGTTAAACATAGAACTATATAGGAAAAAGCTTTAAAAATCTTCTTCTCAAGAACAACCGTTCCAGAAAAAGTAATACTTATTTGAAAAAATCCTGGGTAGTATAGATTCTAAATTGTTTAATTCATGACCCCCTGGGGTAGGGCGGGACCATAATTTGGAATCCAAGTTTTACATTAAAATATATTATAGAAAAAACTTTTAAAATCTTCTTCTCCGGAACCACTGGGCCAGGAAAGCTGAAACTTATGTGAAAGTATCATGGGGTAGTGTAGATTTTAAATTGTCCAAATTATGACGGTCATTGACCCGTGGGGTAGGGTGGGGTGACAATAGGTATTACAAGGGGGGAATCTGGTAAAGAACAGTATGGTCAAAGTGATGTGGACAATGGGCCTATTACTTGATGTGAAAATTGTTGTTTTTTTATGCCCCCGTAATCGAAGTTTGGGGAATATTTTTTTGTTGTGTCCGTCCGTGTCTGTCTCTCTGTCTGTCGGGCTGTTTGTTTGTCCGCAAAAACTTTAACCTTGCCCATATCTTTTGATTTAGTGGAGTTATGACTTTCATATTTCACATGTATATTTCTTGTGTCATGACCTTTCTTTGGGTACTACCAAATTGACCTTAGGACCTTAACCTTGGAGTTTGACCCACTTTTCCACAAAAATTCCAAACTTTTGACCCTTTGACATTGACCCTGGAATTTGACCTACGTTTCAAAAACGTACAACTATTGAACAGGTCGTGCGCAATTTAATTCGCATTATTTTAATTCGCATTAGTTTACTTCGCATTAATTTACTGCGAATTAAACTCTCCGTGTGAACAGGGCATTAAATAGTAGTTTACAAACAAGAATCTATATTTATCAACAATAGGCGTTGTCAAGTTTATTTACCGACAGAGAATCTTAGGTTATAGACTAGCATTCGTAAACTTCAGTTTGCAACGTTAAACATTTAAGAAATAAATAACAAGTTTATAAACTTCAATTAAGAAATAAATAACAATTTTATAAACTTCAGTAGGAATTGAAGTGGGTCGGTCACGTGATCAAATAATGTGAAGGCCAAAGACCTTCTCAGAAGATTTGATCATGTACCGACCCACTTCAATTAAGAAATAAATAACAAGTTTATAAACTTCAATGGGAATTGAAGTGGGTCGGTCACGTGATCAAATCCTGTGAAGGCCGAAGGCCTTCTCAGAAGATTTGATCACGTACCGACCCACTTCAATTCCCACTGAAGTTTATAAACTTGTTATTTATTACTTATATATACATTTGAGACAGGCAATTGAATATTTTCGAATTTAAATTATTGCACTTACCGTCCGTCGTAGAATTTGAAAAATGACGCAAGGTGTAAATCGGCTTGCATGGCGGTTACGCTTCGAATTCATTAGGCTAAGGAATCTATTTCAAAGGGAATATTTTGTGAAAGGCTACTTGTGATCAGTAATAGTGAACAGATTGTTGTCTGGGAATATTTTATTCGTGAAAAATGATAATCGATGCTGAAAAGACACAAGAAACACGTCCGAAGTTTGATGATAAAAAGTTGGAGGAATTTCGGTCGCTGGAAAGGGATGGATGGATCCGATGGACTGAGACACTTGTCCGAGCCAATTAATTTGCAATTTGATCAAAAACATTCCACGGTTTCAGTAACTAAAGGCATGCTTATCGTAAAACACTAATAAACACGGAGACACTGGCGACAGCTTTACATTGAACTACGAAAACGCCGAGGTGCTTGGTAGCTGTTCATGGCATGATTGCAAAGATATTTTCCAACATATTTACACATTTATCGTGAGTAAAATTTAAAGATAAAATAAAAGTTTATTATGAAAATTTGACCAAAGGTCTATCCAAAAAATAAGGATGAACGTTAGAGACTGTGCAGCTGACAAAAGTGAAGAAAACTGTCAACAAACGCTAGGCTCCTAGTTTTCTCTATGTACACAGGTTGAATCGATAGCCCAAAAACTGTATGAATTACTTGTTTACATTTAAAATAAAATTTTATTCATTTTTATACATGAAAAGCAAGTAGAACAGGTCATTTTATAATTTATGTACCGGTAGATATTATTGCGCCGTGTGATTAGGTCACGTATTGACCTCTGACCTCTGACAAACTTCATACAGAATTCAATTGAAGATATTTTCTTTCTGTATGTTTATATAATGGAGAGATACCACAAATGTATATATTTCCCATTGAAGTTTATAAACTTGTTATTTATTACTTACATATACATTTGAGACAGACAATTGAATATTTTCGAATTTAAATTATTGCACTAACCGTCCGTCGTAGATTTTGAAAAATGACGCAAGGTGTAAATCGGCTTGCATGGCGGTTACGCTTCGAATTCATTAGGCTAAGGAATCTATTTCGAAGGGAATATTTTGTGAAAGGTTTCTTGTGATCAGTAATAGTGAACAGATTGTTTTCTTGGAATATTTTATTCGTGAAAAATGATAATCGATGCTGAAAAGACACAAGTAACACGTCCGAAGTTTGATGATAAAAAGTTGGAGGAATTTCGGTCGCTGGAAAGGGATGGATGGATCCGATGGACTGATCGAGACACTTGTCCGAGCCAATTAATTTGCAATTTGATCAAAAACATTCCACGGTTTCAATAACTAAAGGCATACTTATCGTAAAACACTGATAAACACGGAGACACTGGCGACAGCTTTACATTGAACTACGAAAACGCCGAGGTGTTTGGCAGCTGTTCATGGCATGATTGCAAAAATATTTTCCAACAGATTTACACATTTATCGTGAGTAAAATTTAAAGATAAAATAAAAGTTTATCATGAAAATTTAACCAAAGGTCTATCCAAAAAGTAAGGATGAACGTTAGAGACTGTGCAGCTGACAAAAGTGAAGAAAAATGTAAACAAACGCTAGACTCCTAGTTTTCTCTATAGATGTACACAAGTTGAATCGATAGCCCAAAAATGTATGAAATACTTGTTTACATTTAAAATAAAATAATTATCATTTTACTTGCTTATTTTATTCATTTTTATATATGAAAAGCAAGTAGAGCAGGTCATTTTATAATTTATGTACCGGTAGATCTATATTATTGCGCCGTGTGATTAGGTCACGTATTGACCTCTGACCTCTGACAAACTTCATACAGAATTGAAGATATTTTCTCTCTGTATGTTTATATAATGGAGAGATACCACAAATGTATATATTGGGAATTGAAGTGGGTCGGTCACGTGATCAAATCCTGTGAAGGCCGAAGGCCTTCTCAGAAGATTTGATCACGTAAGACCACTTCAATTCCCATTGAAGTTTATAAACTTGTTATTTATTACTTATATATACATTTGAGACAGACACTTGAATATTTTCGAATATAAATTATAGCACTAACCGTCCGTCGTAGATTTTGAAAAATGACGCAAGGTGTAAATCGGCTTGAATGGCGGTTACGCTTCGAATTCAGCAGGCTAAGGATTTTATTTCTAAGGGAATATCTTGTTAAGGGCTACCTGTGATCAGTAATAGTGAACAAACTGTTGTCTGGGAATATTTCTATTCGTGAAAATTGATAATTGATGCTGAAAAGACACCAGAAACACGTCCGAAGACCGATGATAAAAAGTTGGAGGAATTTCGGTCGCCAGAAAAGGATGCATGATCCGATGGATGGAAACACTTGACAGTGCCAGTTAATTTGCAATCAAGTAGGCTATTTAAGATCAAAAACATTTAACCAACGATATCAATAACTAAAGGCATATTCATGATGTAAACAAAACACGGGGACACTAGCGAAAACTTACTTTGAACTACGACAGCGTCGAGATGTTTGTCAGCTGTTCGTGGCGTGATTGCAATGCTTTGATATTTTCCAACAGATTTACACATTTATCGTGAGTAGAATTTGATGACAAAAATACAGTTTATCATGAAGATTTAACCAGAAGTCTACCAAAAAATAAGGATAAACATTCGAGACTGTACAGCTGAAAAAAGTGACATAAAACTTGTAAACAAAAGCTAGTTTCTATCGGTATATTCTCCATGTATATACAGGTTAAATCGATAGCCATAAACTGTATAAAATACTTGTTAACGTTGTAAATGAAATAATAATTATTTACTTGCATATATTTTGTTCATTTTTTTTATACATGAAATGCAAGAAGAGCAAGTCATTTTATATTTATTTATTATTGCGCCGTGTGATTAGGTCACGTATTGACCTCTGACCTCAGACAAACTTCATACAGAATTGAAGATATTTGTTATCTGTATGTTTATATAATAGAGAGATACCACAAATGTATATATTTAGATATATAGTTTGAAAAATATAGTGACGAATCGTTAACTGTATTTTTAATCTTAGTAAACTAAAGTTTACACCACCACCCCCCCCCCCAAAAAAAAAAACTAGTTTATTAACTTTTAAACTATGTATATCATTTTTTTCTGAATTTGGCATGAAATATCTATAAAATAGATTTCTTTGTGCCCAACTTTATCTCTTCTAGACTCAAGTACAAAAATATTGATCAAATGGGCGAGATCGACTGTATCTAATTAATCAAACAATTTAGGTCGAAAATTCACGTGTTTCTGTAAATATTTTTTTACAATGAACTCGTGCATACCTAAACTAGTATTTTCTAACCTTTACATGTTCTTTGATTCGTATGCATTAAATATTAATTGTATGTGTATGCCAAAAGAAAGTTGTTGGTAATTTCTTCCACATTGACCACAGTTGTAATAAAATCAGACTCCTTATAACATTATGTACTGTAAAGGTAAATAGTCTTTGGAAGAGTGATGAGGAATATTCTTTTCAAAGGCTAGTAACTTATTTATATATTAATTTTTTTTTTCAAATCTGTTTTTTAAACAAAAATCCTATTCATGTCAACAAAATAACACGACTCTCTCTCTCTTCTACTTCTACTTCTTTACTTGTAAGAGGTCACCGACCCATCACTATCTAAATTGGCCAACATTAGGCAATAGAAGAAATATATGTACACTTATAATGTTATTTAAAATTACACACAAATTAGTGGCTATAGATCAAAACCTTTACTTAGTACCCCAGACAACGACCATTACACGTAATACTAGTCCTCTTCACTTTCAGACCTTCAGTACAAACAGATTATTATAAATTTATATACACTAACCTCTCTCTCCCACACTCAGTGGTGGCAGCGGCCTCTCTGGACCAGTTCAGAACTCTGGTCCCAAGCTATGTCCCATAACTCTCATATTTATGAAAACAAGTAGAACAGAATGTAAATACACATTTTTCATGCACAAAAAATTGTTTTTCATTGCATATGGCACATAGTTGTGTTTTATAATTAAAATTTATAGGTCCGTTTGCGCAGGGCCAGCGTATAATCATCAGGATTGATGGAACGCTGTAATATGTAGATGCAGTGACGTATAACAAGGGGGTTATACGTCACTGGTAGATGTAGATGTAGATGCACACAAGTTTGACTCTCTCTCTATCTCTCTTTAAAAAAACGCATTCTGTGTACAAATGTTAGATTTTGTTTTTTAATAAAACATATTGTGTATAAAATAAAGAATTAAAAAAAATAATCAAGTTATATTGTAATTTGTATATTTCGTATACTTAAATGATAAACTTGAATATGATCGTTGAAATCGCAACCATGTACGAACTAATGTTTACTAATCTGGTGGTTCGCCCTTTTATCCGGACCATGAACCAGTAAAAATGTAACTATGCCATTGTTTACAAATGGCGCGCTCCTGTGGTATTTCAGATAACTGAAATTGATGCATGTCACCACGCTAAAATGGGATCTGGTTCGAGTCGATCAAGTCAGGTGCATTCCTTTCAAGTGGAACAAGGAAATAAGGAGGACGAGGATGTTCGGTAAGTCCTCTGTTAGAATACGTGAAAGGATTTTGTCATATGCATGCACTGTGCTGTGCCGCTAAATTAAGAGGATTACAATGTTACTGGATTAACCCATTCATACACCTGGTGTACATTTTAAATTCATTAGTTAATAAGTTATATGACATTGTACTTTTTATCAATGTTTTGGGATAGAAACTGGAGATATGAACACTGATGAATAATAAAATTTAATTGTTTTGAATAAATGGATTGTCAGATTAGTCTCTTTTTCAAAGTAAATCTGCCTATTAATGTATTGAATTATACAACATTGCCTTTTTTACAAAATATATAGTTTTCACTTCTATTGATACATGACGATGTTTATACATGTATGTAAATTTCGTTTTAGGCCCAAAACAGGTAGAGAAACAAAGCGTGTTTGCTCTCTCTCAGCCCAGCAACGTCCATCTGTCCAGATAAAGAGAAGTCAGTCTATGAGCAGTACAACCTCGCCAAGGGTAGCTCCATCTCTACATAAACAAACATCAGAGGAGGTCAGTAGATCAAAAGATTATATTGACATAAACATGTCCATTAAATTCATTTCTTTTATCTTTGACACGATTCATAAAACCTGAGTTATCAACAACCTTGTTATATATGAGAATTCATAAACATTTAACAACCATCTTTAGAAATAAGTGTGACCCTATGCTTTCCAAGGAGCGAAGAGGAATACAAGTCAAGTCTTTAGAAATAAGCTTAGAATTACATGGCTTTAGTTCAAACATTTTTACTGTAATTTATTATTTCATAAGAATTAGACACAAGTTCTACAAACTTATGCCCTCCCCAACATATATTAATTAATCTATTGCTGAAAAAATGATTTGCACTGAAATTTGTGATTTTTAAAATATAGATATGTTAAATTAGTTTTAAAATCACCATAAAAAGTATCCCATTTTGGGTCATTTGATAGCTACTACGAAAATCATTTAACCCCAGAGTGGTAATATTTCAGCATTTCTTACATATTATTTCAAGGATGTTTGATAGGCATGTATTATGAACAAAGAGCTTGTACATGTAATATATCATCTGCAAAGTATGTTCTGAACTTTGAAGCTCAAAAGGATTTTCATTGTACAATCTAAATAGTTCACTTGTCAGTAATATGTATGCACTGCAGAAGTTTACAACTAATTTACAACTAATTTATACTGTTTCTATTTGCCAAGAAGACTTCAAATGATGTTAAAGTTGATACAGATGACAAAGAAAGACAGCTATTTGAAGCTCAAGAAAAGATGACAGTATTACAAAAACAGGCAAGTTTAAGACTTAAACATTTTTAGTTAGTTACCAGATTTTGATTCAATAGAGAGACTAAATGCAGATAATTACATGTATTAGTATTGTTTCCTTAATTAGATTTTATTTTTTATGTCTTCATTTGATCAATCACATGGAAAAAAAATATAATGTATAGAATATACAGTGTATATTGAGATATGTATATTATTGATTAAAAAAAGTATGAAGTGTGGCTTTTGCAAGACAAGTACACATTTAACATAAACAGTTAAAATATGATTTGATATTAATTATTAAAATGACATAGAAATTGAAAAAAGAAACTCTCTCCAAAGGTAGGGCACTATTTTGAAATTATACATCTGAGATCTTTCCCAATTTATATTTTGATTTATAAAATGGTTTATTGACATTAATTTTGTTATATACATGTACTCTCTGATATTGAGTTAAAAGCAAGTTAAACATGTAAGTATATTATTTATTTGTAAATAAACCTTGTTTTTATTTATTCTGTATGTCTCTTTACAATGTTTATAAGTGGACATTGGTTCAACAGATTTATTTTTACACCCAATCATTTCAGCTGACAGAGACAGAGAGTCAGAACCTGGACCTCCAGGAGAGGGTGGAGGTTCTGGAGGAGCGACTTGAGTACCTCAACTCGTGTCACCAGATTCAGGAGGAGCCGGAGGGGTACCAGGAAACCATCAATGCCAAGAACCAGTTTATAGAAAAACTGGAGAAAGAACAGAAACAACAGACACAGGAGTTCAGTAAGACGGTGAGGGATTTAGATACAAGTCATTACAATTTTTCTGCAGATTTAAGCATTTATTTTATGTATTTTCATAATTTATTGCATATTTTAAAAGATTTGAAATGATTAAATATCTTAAGAAAACCATGTCTTTAACTGAAAAGGACTTTGTGGATAATGAAAACCCATACATTTAATTTCTGGGAGAACAAGCAAGAAGAAAAAATCTGCAGTTCTTTTTAAAACTCTTTCAAGTTTTAATACTGTTGTCAATTTAGAAGTTTTATTCAGTATATCTATTTTATACTTCCAGTATAAAATGCAATAAATAAATTGTTCAGAAAATATAGTGTTATTACACCATAATGATTTTTTAAAAGAACGATTTGTTGAGGCAACTTGTTCTATTTAGAGTATCTAATTAGAGTTATTCCCCTTTTATAGGAAAAAAATCATTACACAACAAACAAAAACTCATATGTTTTGTATTTTACAAACAGAGAATTCGCTACAAGAAGAGAATAAAAGCTTTGACCACACAACTGAATGAAGCCAAACAAGAGACCTCAATACAACTGTTTGAACTTAGAGATGAAATCACCAGACTGTTGGAGAAAAACAAAGAACTGGAAGGTGTGTAAAAGACAATACGACTAATACGAATATTTACTCGTACTCTCATTGACCACAATTGGGTTCATGCTTGTCTGCTAAAGTATTTATACTCTGTCACCCTTTCAAGTTCATGTCTATGATTGATTTGGGCAGCTGTATAGGGGCTATCCTTGTACTATGTTCAATAATTAATCATCTTCTATGTTTATCTTTTTTTCTGTTCTATTAGATTCACTTGAAAGAGCTGGACCACAAGAAAAGACTAACACACCTGATGTGGGCAAAATGCAAATTGTGTTAGAACTGTCCAATCAAATCTCAGAACAGACAGAGGAGATCTCGAGGTTAAAGAAGGAAGTGAAAGCGAAGGAATCGATAATTGATCGTCTTGGAGGAACCAAAAAATTGGAGGAAGAATATAGTAAAGACAAAGAGGACCAGAAAAATCTGAAAAAGTTATCACAAGGATTAAGTCAGTTACATAGTGAGAGTGAGGGCTTCAGGGACTCAGAAGAGGATGATAGAGGTGTGTCTGGTGCTAGCCGGGACTCAGGGCTGGGGTCAGCTGGGAAGAATAAGGACAGGCAGAGAGACAAGAGGGGTATCCCTGTACAGTCAGACTCAGACTGGGAGTCAGACGACCTCCCAGATGAACTTGGTCCCTGTAAAATAAAAAGTGCTCCCCCAGAGACTCAGGCCCTGAGAGCAGCCTCCAGACTGGCTGCCATGGAGGGTACTGACTCAGGATACCCCGCCCGACTGGCATCGAGGGAAAGCAATGATTCCAGACTTCCGTCACGCCTCGCCTCAAGGGAAAGCATTGGTTCCAGACTGCCCTCTAGATTAGCTTCCAGAGAGAGCCAGCTCAGTAGTAAGACTTTACTGGAAAATGATGAGGATCACATATCTATTGATGACATGACATCTTATAAAGGGTCTCACAAAATAAGGAAGAAATCCTCATTTACATCTAAAATCAGGCGGGAACATGATACATCCCTCAGAACACCTATCCCTAGTGTAGCATTTGAGGAGGAGAAAAGTACTAATGATATACCAATGTATCCAAGTAGCTCCAGTAAGAGGTATTCTAGAAAGAAAAAGAGCTCATTCTTCCTGACTCAGACAGGAAATTCTCCTGCAGGAAGTGATATCAGTGAGCAAATATCTGTAGGATGATTCCAAAGTGTTTAAGATACTTGTAGAATGAGACATTGATATTTACAGATATCTTCAGGATGAGATCTTGGTATTTACAGATATATGTAGGATGTGACCTCAGCGTTTACAGATATCTGAAGGATGAGACCGCATTCATTACAGATATCTGTAGGATGTGACCTCAGTGTTTACAGATATCTGTAGGATGAGACCTCAATGTTTACAGATATCTGTAGGATATGACCTCAGCGTTTACAGATATCTGAAGGATGAGACCGCATTCATTACAGATATCTGTAGGATGTGACCTCAATGTTTACAGATATCTGTAGGATGGGGTCTAAGTATTAACAGATATCTGTAGAATAAGATCTTAATGTTTACACATATCTGAGAATGAAACTCTTGTGTTATCAGATACATGTTTCTGTATGTTGAGCCTTTCCTTTTTACAGATATGTATGGGATGAGATCTTGCTGTGTACATTTATCTGCAGACCTTGGTGTTTTTATATATACATATAGAATTTATTAACCAAAGAAACTTGGTAAATATGAAAGTATACAGGATAATATTATTTCATGTTATTTCATTTACAAATGTCAGTTCTAGTCAGTATTCTATTTCAATTCTGTCAGCCAAAATATCCAATACAGCTTTTCTTATTAATGAAAAATTGATATTGCTAAGGCAACTACAATTACACAAGTGTACATACAGATGTATGTATTTTCTTATCAATATCAAAGTGAAATGTATAAGTAATATTCATTTCCAGTACCAGTATTTTATGTAAAATGATCTCATATTGCATATTTTTTAAAAAAAATATTAAATATACTTTAGATGAGAGCTTGTATAGTTAGTCCATGTAACTTTTTTACAATGAAAAAAATGACTATGCAATTAGCAAACTCTCTTGAAAGCGTCATAATTACTAGTATCCCTTCTGTTAGTTAAACACTGTTCAAATATGTAATGTTGTGGTTGATATAAACGAACATTTTATTCTCTTCATCAATTAAGAGACTAATTTTGTTAACTCTTGAAGACGGTTGATACAGAAATGTAGCGTTTGAGCCCTGCTTTATTTAAGACTAACTCAATGAGGTGTGTGATGATGTGTGTTGTAAAATATCATTGAAGAAATATTTATACAGAACTATTGTTTTTGTTTACAGAATTTCATTGTTTTAATAATAAATTATTATTTCATATTCCCTGAGATAAGATTTACTCTTGTGTATCTTTGTGGCATAATTACATTAAGCATGAAACCAATGGTAGAACCACTTCAAATAATATGGTTATTAACACGCAGGCACAGTTTGTGTTATAGGTTTTTGTATTAAAAAAAATTACCTCCATCTAACATTTCTTGAATATGTTGAAAAAATAGTGCTATATAGGAGAGAAACAAAGAAAACAGAAGTCTTAGTTGACCAGCAGAGAAGTGCGCTCACTCATAATTCATATCATTTCAGCTTTTCCCCTTTATATAAAATTTATGGCTCACACTCTTTATGTTCTTAAATCCTTCCTTATGTATAAAATTGCCGCACGACTCTGAAGATTACTGAAAAAAATAATCCGTAATTTTTCAAGTTGTACTTTGATTTTTAATTAGCGAAAATGTTTATGAGAGGGTATATTAAAATCATCTCTCTCGTGTTATTGCGAGGAAAAGATCGCTGCTATGGTTTCAACTTTAAAAACAAAAGGCCCCAAACAACCACGATTTCAAATCATCAATATTCAATTAATATATCGAAGGAAATACTTTACTAACAATAGGGTTTTAGTTGTAAAAGTAACAACCATAAATAATACTACTTGGCCTTAAGGATGTCCGCTGGTCTCTAAGGAAGGATGCCTATATGAAGCTTGAAATTGAAATCTTTTCATGTTTACAACACTTTTCATGTTATGCAGCTCAATGTGTTTCAAGATTCTTTGAATTCTTAGAAACGGATTTATAAAAAAAAGTTGACATTTGTACCCCATAGAAGTATTTGAAAATTACACATTGAACGAAATAACATTTCTTTAATCTAGCCCATGCTTCTTATGATAGAAGTGATTTATGGTGTTTTGCAATGATAGGACTTGATCAAATAACTTTATACACTATACATTATAAAATAAATGAAGTAAACAGAAGACATAAAGTAATGTTTAAGTATAAAGATCTACAATTTTCTTCCTTTAGTTACTACAGTATGTTTTTATTTGCATTTCCCGATAAGTTTTTTGAGATTTACATATTTTCCCTATAAAATATGATAAACTTGAATGATTAAGTTCGAAGAATTTCCTTGGGTAAATACATGTACCCATACTTTGAAAATTCAGATACATTTTTGTGAGCATTTTTAATCATTGAAGGCCTGATTTTCGGAATTAGAGGACCGGACTACCTTAATTAAATACTTGTAGATGCAATGTGCAATCAGGTAAAAATCTATGAAATGACTATAGACTTCAGGCACGTAGTAAGGGGGGGCCTGGCCCCCCACTTTTTCTCCCGACATTACTTTTACTATAGGAAATGTATACTGAAAGGAAGGTTGCCCCCCCCCCCCCACATTTCAGCACAGTGTAGTGTTATAAAGAAAATTTACCCCAATAAGTTTGAATTGAAAGATAGTTGGTCTTGAAAAAAGTTACCCCCCCCCCCCCCCCCCCCCCCCCCCCCCCCCCCCCCCCCCCCCCCCCCCCCCCCCCCCCCCCCCCCACACACACACACACACACACGCGAAATAGGATTTTCGACTTTGGGCAACTTTTAATATTTCGTTTTTTTTTTTTTTTTTTTGCTTGTCAACTTTTTCAGGTAAGTAAAAAAAAAATTTCTCAGGTTGGCCCCCCCCCCCACTTTCAAAACGATGCTACGTGCCTGGACTTTCACTTTGATAAGTTTTTGGTAAGAGCAGAAAGACTGTATATAGAAGAAACAAGATATTCTGTGGATAAAGAAAAAAATACATGTGAAATTCACAACTATTTTCTTAATAGAGTGGCCTCCCTTTTTATGTTTATCTCTATAAATAGTTCCACCCACACTGACAGGTCAGATCTAAATTTTTTCTTTGTTTTTTACGAAGTTTTAAGGTGAATGCAGTTAAGGAACAGCTGCAAGCCAGGATTGTAATCATTATCAGTTGTGTACTTTTGTCTATCTTAAAGATAATCTTTCATTTCTTGTTTTTTTTTAAGAATCAATGACTTTATATATTTATATAATGGTTTGTAAAAGCCGAAACAGTACCAAGGTTTTGATCTTTTGAAAATTCCGAACAATAAAATTCCTCGAATGTCTTTCGAAAATGAACATTATATTTTTCGGAGGGTTTACACTAACCACTAAATTAACTCTTGTTAAAAAGTAGTTATAATTTTTTTTTTAAATTTAAATATTCAAGAAAAATCGGGTGTAGGGTGCAACCAAATCCTTCAATGTTAACGTTCAAACTGAGATGATATATTTCATTTCTTTCTTTTTTAACCATTATCTGATTTATATTCAAACAAAAAAAATTCAATAAAAGTAAAATTCTCCGTCACTGTAGCTCTGACAACATATGGTGAGATCGAATGGCTGGGGTGTTCGATGTGATCATTGTCGGAGGCGGCGTCGTGGGATGCGCCGTTATCTGGGATATGACGTCACACGGTTACAAATGTCTTCTGCTGGAGAAAAATGAAAACTTGGTGTCTGAAGCAAGCTCGGGAAATAGGTAAATTGAATTTCCATGATTGATAGAAATTTTAAAGCTAAATTTAGTTGTTTTCCTTGTGATATCATCTTAAATTTTATTTTCAGTTATCATGTATTTCTCAACATTGAAAAAAAAATAAAAGTGAAATTTTTATCAGAGAGAGTTAATCGGAGGAAAAATCTCAAACAATCGCTTTTCTATTTACTTAATGTCATGCTGTTTCGATTCAAATAATTGTACCATCACAACTTCAATAAATTCAAATTGTAAGATATCAGATTAAAATGGAATAAAAATTTTCAAATTAACAGTAGGAATAATAAATGTCACGTGTCTATAAAAGCCAAGTTTGTTTTTAATTTGACCCTTTTTACCCCTTTGATAGCGGGATGCTCCACACCGGGTTTGATTCCTCTCCCAACAGTCTGGAGATTCAGTGTATACAACACTCGTTTCCCCGAATGTTTGATTTATTAAAAGGACTTGGACTGCCATACGAAAAAAATGGGGCAACTATGGTAGCTTGGACACAAGAACAGGTTAATAAAAAACACAATTTTTAGTGTCTCTAACCTACAATATATATATTAACAATTTTTAGTATCTCTAACCTACAATATATATATTAACTGTCATAGTACCTTTCATTCATAAAAGGCCCCTGGTCCATAACACTCTACTGAATCACGATTGCACTGCTGCTCTTCATCGGCAGGCTGTTTTGTATATTTCAATATCACAGATACCTGACGTTACTTATTTTTGTTTTGGGTGCGGGTTATGTATAGAAAAATAATTAATGCAAGATGCCTGTGTCCTATTACGTAAAAATTTGTTCTTTTTTTGTGGCCCAACCTATACCCGGTGTCTCGATTTGCACGAACTTGAATATCTTTTATCCGATGATTGATACAACGATCCCATTGAATGTGGCTTATCATGGCCTTGTTGTTCTATGGATAATAATTTTTTAAGTTTTTTTCTTATGAATTCCTACCTGTATGTAAACTTTGTTCATCCATTGAGCGCCACTCCATCCATGAAACATGACAGAAAAAAGGGAGCTAATAATTTTACTTGTAAAATTCTTTTGTGTGATTACATTATATGCATCATTAGAATCCTAATATTAACTTCCCATTATTCTTCGAAATATTAATAAGTTGTAAGATGTTTTAAAGGTGTCAAGGTTACCCATCATCACTGAGAGGTCAAGGGCAGCAGGGATTTCCTCCACTACAGAGATAAGTCTGTCTGAACTGTACAGGAGGGAGCCCGGGCTCAGCAGACACGCCCAGGGGGCACTGTGGATCCCCGATGAGACCGTGGTGGACCCGTGGCTGACGGCCATCTCTATGGCACACGATGCCAGGAGAAAGGGAGCTATGGTAAAGTTTTGTAACTTGCAGTCAGTAGTGTCAAATCACTCTCATTTGGGTTTTAGAGGAAAGACTGGACGATTTTTGTAACTCAATTCATAAGTGCACAGAAATAATTTAAACGGTTCTGAAATTTGTATACTGTTTATTGCTTTCCTTAATTTACAGGCTCATATGCCTTCTAATGTTACTTGAAATTATATTTTTTTTTAAAGTAATCTAGCGTCATTTAGCTAAACTGTTCGTTTTGCATGGTGATCTTTATGCAACGGATTCTGTTGATAGTCTTTTCCCGCAAAATTAATACATCTGAAGTAAGTTTTGCATTAATTTTTTTTCTACCCTTGAAACATGAGTTCATAAAAAAGCAATTTGAGAGGAATGGTTTAAATATTTTTTCTCAACTGATTTTCAGAGTGTCCTACATATGAAGATTTTATTTGCAAAAGTATAAAGTTAAATCTAGAGAAATTTTTGAGCGCAATCTTGAGCACAACCAAAAAAAAAAAAAAAAAAAAAAGGCGAAAAAAACCCTGATAGGCAAAGAGAATTCTTTGAAATCTTTTAAACAAAGGTATAAAAATTGAAATCTGCAATAAACCACATGTGATAAGTATTAATATCTTTGTCCGAAGGTCAAAACTGACACTATGGTACAAAGCATATGTAGAGCAGATCATAACCAACAAGTGCACGTGATGACGTCACGTGGTCAGTTTACAGGGCGTGTCGTCATTAACTGTGGTGGTCTCTATGGTGATATCGTGGACAAACTGGCAGGGCTGCAACATTTCAGGTACAAAGCAATAAAATATCTTGGAGTTCTGTTTATCAAGTCACAAGTTATGAAATTTTTTTTAGAAACCAATGAAATGAAATGAAAGATCTTATCGTACAAAGTTTATATCATTTGTGTCGCCGCAGGCTGTCAAATGCCTTAGAAGTTACATATATAGTCTGGTTAACAACTTGTAATTTCTCACATGCAGTTAGACATGCACAATATTTATTGATAAAGTAATTTCATATTCTTAACAGGTAAATGTGAAACTTTGATTTTCTAATCGCGGAGAAGATAAGGCAACAGTTATGCATTAAGTTATGTTCTTGATTAAAAAATGATTTTTCTAAAGTAAAAAAGTTCAATAGTCTAACAGGTTAAACTTTTTCTCTCAAAATAATTATATACTATGAAAAATATGTTGTTTTATACATGTAACATTAAATAAATAACTGTACAGTGTACACGACTAAAAAGTAAAAATAAAATGTTTGTCTACAAGAAATTAAAGATATTTAATTTTGTAACATTGTTAATATTTACAACTCAGTTGTAAATATTAACAATGTTATAAAATCAAATATTCATATGCTTTTTTCAGCATAGTTCCAAAGAAAGGACAATATGCAGTTTATCCAAAGACTGCAAAACACTTGATCAATTCTAGTATTTTACCAATTCCAACAGACAGAGGGAAAGGTGAAATTATTTTTAAAACAGGTATATAAACAATTTTTAATTAAATTAATTTAAGCTCAAAGGTACAAAGTTGTGCCAAAAGTGAAGATAATTTTTTCTCTACATACTAGTATTTCATTGACATCAAAATTTCTTGACATATTTTACCACAAATCAAGACATTGTTTTATTTGATAAATAACAACACCTTCTATCTTTTCAGCATCGATATTTTCAAATATTGTAATTTTAGTGCAACATGAAAATTTAAGTCACATACTCACAATGAATTATATAGTCAACATTGATCTTGAATTTTAGAACTGGATGTAAACGATGGACTTTTCTAAAAGCTAAATATGTAATGATGTTTTAGAAAGAGATAACTAAACATTTTCTTGTTTAAGTACTTCAATAAATAATGAAATTGGGAAAAATTTACCATTTGCCAGTGATTTTACAAAATGTTGTTTTCAATTAAAATGTATACAGAAAAAAAATAGAATTATCTTCAGTTTTGGCACAGATCTTACGCCATAAAACCATCCCAAGCAATATATATGAGTCGACTTTATATATCCCAGAGAGCTTGAAATAAAAAATACCACTGAGTCCGACACATCTGTTTTATATTTGGATATTCTACTAGTAAAAAGAGACTTTAATATAACTTAATGATAAGTTTTTTGGTAAACGTGATGGCTTCTTGTTTTCAACTTTCCTTACTTTGGTAGCAATAAACTCTTACTAGCTGCATATGGGGTTTATGTCTCTCAGTTGACTTGATACGCAAAGGCATACTCTACGTACAAACAATCTCTTAAGTAAGGAAAGCCATTGACAAACAAGTTTAATGAAACAAAAATATCAATAGTCTCGTTAAAGTTATCATTTCGTAAGTTCTATGGTCGATACAATAACGTTGTCAAAAAATACAATCCATCAATAAGTCAAATGCTAATAAGCATTTTTCATACTAGCTGTTCAGCAATTATTTACATACTGAAAAGTCTAACGATATATCCGTTTTCCATATCATGACAAGGAGCACATGGCAGGTGTGCCCGGTAAGCAGGGGATGCTCACTCCTTATGGTACCGATCCACTTCTGATTTTTTAGAGGTCTGTGTTTCGCTCTGCTCCTAATTTGTATTGTTTGAATAGACCTCTTAGGTAGAATATTATATGTACTTATCCACAGGTTGTGAGTGGGATAGCTCTTTTATCAAACCCGTGACAGGGAACTATTCCCCGAGGGCTTGCCCGAGGGGAATAGTTCCTGTCAAGGGTTTGATAAAAGAGCTATCCCATTCACAACCAGTGGATAAGCGTTTTATTATACTGATGTAAATCATAATTTCTGAGGATTGAATTATTTGGAGTAGGGGCCTAAGATAATACTGCAAGAATGTGCTGAAATCCTGATGACGTTACAATGCTACTGAAGTCATTCTGACATCATCTGTCTATAGACTTATCGCTGGAAATCAAAATTGGCGGCAAAAATTGCATGAAAATTTTGCTATAGAAATACAAAAATATACTTTTCTTCATTTAAATAATTAAAAAAAATATGGAGATACCAGCTAATGCTTAAACTTACTATATCAATTTGTTAGTTAACCGTGACATTATCAAAGCCATTCTTATAAAGAGGCTAATAAATTAAAATAATTTTATATCAGTTAGGAGTTTATTTATGCCCTGTTCACACGACGAGTTTAATTCGCAGTAAATTAATGCGAAGTAAACTAATGCGAATCAAATTAATGCGAATTAAATTGCGTTCACACGACAGCTAATGCGAAGTAAACTAATGCGAATTAAAAATTTTCTTCTGCAGTCAGGCGTCAGTAAGTCTATTATGACGTCATTTGTAAATCACGTCATGTATGCAGAGCCATCCTTTGATACATCATATAGTGGCTACAGGTATTCATTGATTTTAGTGATAAACATACTTTTCCTCAATTTTTGAACCAAATATAGCACAAATACCTATATATAATTACCAGCACGTGTCCTGTGACTTAATTCTGGTCTTACGCATGCGTCAAAATTTAATTCGAATTAGCTTCGCTTAGCGTTCACACGGAGCTAATGCGAAGTAATTTAATGCGCAGTAAATTAATTCGAATTAAACTAATTCGCATTAAATTCTCCGTGTGAACGCTAAGCGAAGCTAATTCGCAGTAACTTTACGTTTAATTCGAATTAAACTCTCCGTGTGAACAGGGCATTATATGATTAGAATTTGCTTAATTTTATTGATACTTTTGTTTTAAAACACTTTTTTTATCCATGGGATTTCAATTTGTCAGTTTACGGTAATGTCATTGTCGGACCAACGTTTGAGGAGACAGTCAACAAAAGGCGCCCAGGGAGTGATTCGAACACGATCCAGCGCCTAATACGGTATGGGGAGTCCCGTGTGAATGGATTAAGAGGGCGCCCCATAGTGAACACTTACACGGGTGTTCGACCTGCGACAGAAATAAAGGACTACCATATTGATTCTTATCCAGAAAGGTATAAGATTTTTAAAAAATCTCATCTATTAGATATAATATCTATCCTGGAATTCCATTTTGATCAGTAATATACATGTATTTATAATTGTAACAAATATATATATAAATCTTATTTTTATTTTGCCTTATTTTATGTTTTCGGATTTTTGGGGAAATTGTTTAAATTGTGTTCAATTTCCACAATATATAAGAATGCAAAATAACTTATATGTAGAAAATATTTGTACCTGCAATTCATTCATAAATACACCGAGGTGACCCTTAATATTCAGGTTATCAGAATAATTCCTAATTATTCTGTACTTTGTGGCATCAGACACTTGGTTAATTGTAATTTATTAAATACAACACTTTATTCATTAATTCCGTCTATTTCATCATTCGTGAACATTTCAAGATTCAATTGATAAGACCAGAGGTCGTCTTTGATGTACATTCATACTGATTTTGGTCCCGTTCTGTTTTCTTTTATTCTTCTATTTAAGTCCCAAAATAAAACAATGTTTCAAAAGTAAATGGTTTTGAAAAAAATTCATATGTGCTGTACATATATTTTCTATCATAAATACATGCATTTATAAAGACAAGTTTGACTTCTTCAGTCGCCTTACATGATTCCGTTCCTATAAAATATGCATACCAGTATCATGACTTATTTTACAGTACTTTTTTTGCTGACCTAGCTGTGGTAGCCGAATTATTAATTTTTAATTAAAATGCCCTGTTTCAGGGGCTGGATAACCGTGGGAGGGATTCGGTCCACTGGATTGTCAGGAAGTATTGGGATTGGCGACAAAGTCAGAAAACTTGTTCTCGGTCAGCACAATGTAGAGCCATCTCGAGCTAAAATGGTCGAATTAAAAAAGATGGCCGTCAAGTTCTTACCGCCAAGTCACGCTATGGTTGATGACGTCATATATACAGTAACACATCCTATCACTCTGTGTAGAATGGATTTATCAATGGAATCCCGTCTATAATTACGACAGTCTGAATTTTGTTAGTTTTCTTTTAATAATAATTGAAGTGGAGGGAAGAAATTAAAGGTAAAAGAAAAGAAATATGGTTCTTGTGCTCCCAGTAAGTGATCCTCCAATTTTGCATACCGACATGCATTTTGTTAAAATATATATTCATGGGTTTTGCGTCGCATTATCATTGGATAATACAGTAAAGGGACATATCCCATCACACGGTCATGTATATAAAGTATATGATATAGTTTTATATGCTAATGTAGAAATATTCATTGGGGACTTAATTTCGTTTAATTTGTTATTAAAAATTAGCAAAGAAATTATAAGTCCCGCATGAAACTTGTATATGACTATAATCAAATAGAGTTACTTGTTAAACGTTCACAAAGCGTTTAAGGATGACAAAACAATGAAAAAAAGTTAAATCTGAAATTTGTCTTTGATATGATAAGATTTTTAAGGGACATTAACAGGTAGTTGAAGTTTACAACATTAAAGAAGAATATGAAAACTATAATCAATAAAGAAATGCAACACATCGGTATATCAGATTATTTTTATAGACTGAGACGTTGGAAATATAATTAAATTCATGTTTCAAAAAAAAAATAATGAATATCAACATGTTTAATTAATAAGTCAAATCAATGTCAGTGAATTTATCACATCAACAAAAAGGTAAGCATTAAAAAAGAACAGATCTTACAAATGGTGTTTCATTAAATATTGTGAAGAGAGTCGTTGTCAATAAGTAAAATTATGATTTTAAAATCTAAAATCTGAATCTTAGTTTGCATTTTAAAACTGAAACTTTTTAAAAATAAAAAGAAGAAATTCTTTTTTTAAAGAAATTGTTAATGACCGTTTTAATTTGTTTTCAACGATTCAAGAAAGTAAACATGATACTATACGTGTATTAATTCTTACATTGTGGGCAACATACGAGCTAAGTATTTTAAACTGTTTAATTCATCAGCCTTTACCAAAAAAGTACAGAATGTACATTCAAGCAACAGAACTATATCAGAGGAGAAAAAAAATTATAACAACAGAAAAGAAACCTGCATGAAAATCTACATACATACATGTAGAAATGCTGAGGAAAATAAATTCAACGTAATATATTTTTCTAAACAAAATAAAAACGAAATGTTTCATGTATTCCTTATTTGCATAAAACTGAAACGGTAACACTTTTCTTAGTTGAATCAATGTTTAAAATGATTGCTAAAATCTTTTGATTTCGCTTAAGGATAAATAAGATAAACTTTTACCAGAAATCAGCAATATAAAGACAACGAACAGTATCCAGTCTCGAATGTTTATGGAAATGGTACAAATCTTGAGCAAAGTAAACGCGGACCTCTGAAAACATAAAAAGTAAGATCAGGTGCCATGAAGGAGTTTATCTTAAATAATATCTGTCACTGTCAGAGTTAGGTTAAACGTCTTCTCTTGAGATTCACAAGGCCGCTGCATATATACCGCCTTTCTGTTGTGCTAAGTTGATGGGAACCATTGGCAATACCTTGGATTGGATAGCAAGGTGAACTGCAATGCAGAACAAGTGCCTCCGTTAAGGACAATACACCTGCAGCATCAGACACATTGAGCCGGTCTTGAACCAGCAACCATTATGTTATTTACCAAACACCAATGACCACTGAATCATGTGCTTCAGTATTTGGGTTAATGTGGTATTTATGTAAGATTTTGTGAAAATGTCATAAAATTTGTGCAAAAAGTATTGGTTTATGTAGAAATCTCACAAAGCTGCATATTCATTTATTATATCACTTCTATTCAAAATCGAACAAGAAAATATTTAATCCAACATCAATTTTTTAGTGATATTTATTCCTCAAGTTTTAAAAGATCGTAAATTATATACAAAAATTTAATAATAAAAAGTTAATGATAAAAAATGTTTTTTCCTAAATAGTTTCTCTTCAGAAGTTTTTATGGTCATAAAATACCAGTAGTCAAACAATTGCAAAATGCAATGCATGCTATAAAAGTATTAACTTGTAAAATGAAACATCAGTTGTAATTTATAAAATATGTGCATGTATATTCATACTTGCTTTGTTATATGCAGTGAGTAGTTTCGCAATATTTAACTATACATGTGTATAATCACTCACTCAAACATACGCACGATATTTTTTTTTTTGGTGGCCACATTGGAAAATGCATGGATAGGTAGTATACTTTTTTCATATAATTATGATACTGCTTATTTCTGTATTGTGACACGGCCACGGCATGTCTATTTTTTTAAATGGCATACACCATACGAATTTTTTACATTAATTTGATATTTTCCCTTTAATAGAGCATGCTTTTGGTTTCAATTTTAACCATCTACAAATTTAAAATAGGATTGTTGAGTACTTAGCGTATAATTGTTGGGTTTTCTCTCACAGATATTTAAAAATTGTTGAAATTTTCACAGATTCAAGAAGGCACCCTTCCTTATACATTGTAGTTATGCCAGATGTAGATCAAATCTCCGTCTAAATTTAGTTACAAGGTAAGGCACAATCTTTCTTCTTATCTCTCAGGAAAAGAATTTATTGAAATTAATCAATTTATCCACTTCCGGTAAGGAAAGAGAAAAAAACCTATATCACTTGACTTAATACTTTTAAAAGATTAACCATTATCTTTAAGGTTTGACTACACCTTCCTGGAATATAAAATTTTCTATTTCTTTGTAACATACCAAATATATTTTCGTTTTCGTCTTTTTAATTCCATATGATTTTCAAATTGTCGTAAAAATATAAACACAAAAAAACTGTAATATCAGCAATTCAAGTGACATAGGCTAAAATCGAGGGTAGACCAAAAAGTAAACGATATATAGGTATTTGATAGTTATATTATTGTTGAAATATGTAAGTATTTTTCAAAGTGCGATGGTGACGCCAAAGTCCGATGGTGTCGCCAAACCCCGAGGGTCTGCGCCAAACCCCGATGGCTCGCTGTCTTTACGGTTGCCAAAGTCCGATGGTCACACCAAAGCCCGATGGCTCGTTTCCTAGGAGACACGTTGCGCTAAAGTTCGATTGTTTGACACGCCAAAGTCCGATGGTGCGGATGAACAATCAACGTTTATGACGTCACAATAATCCGACGTCAATCGTTGACGCCGTTGTCCTGCATTCAAAAGCCATCATTTCTAAATTCGTCCTCGCATTCAATTTTATTTTGCTTATTGCTTGCAATTTCCAGGGATATTAGGGTTAGTATATAGCACAACACTCGAATATTTATTGATTAAGTTAAGTCATTGTATTGCATTTGAAGAAATGTTTCACAGAAATTTTGTTCTCACAGCACCCGAGAGATTTTTACAAAGTTAGCATGCCTCGCACACTATAGTCGAGTGATTAGGGTTAGTCTTGCACCCACTTCCTTATAAGATATCTCAAAGTTAAATTGTTAATGCACACTTCTTCGAGCATTTAGGGTTAATGCATGCTTTTCGCACACTGAATAAATCAATATGAGAAATAAGAGCTAGTTTTTGCATTTATTTATTTATACTTATTTTTAAGACCTTGGCATGGTGATGCATTGAGGTTTGGCGCAGTGGCACTATGACGTCATAAACGTTAATTGTTTTCCTCACCATCAGATTTTGGCGTGTCGAACCATCGGGGTTTGTGTCTTTTCGTCAGACCATAACTTTTATGGACTTTGTTTAATACTTTTAAAAGATTAACCATTATCTTTAAGGTTTGACTACACCATCCTCGAATATAAGAGTTTCTATTTCTTTGTAACATACCAAATATATTTTCGTTTTCGTCTTTTTATTTCCATATATATGAATTTTAGAATTGTCTTAAAAATATAAAACACAAAAAACAGTAATATCAGCAATTCGAAAGTGACATCTACTAGGATTGTATAGTAAATGTCCTCCTCTGGTATCCAGAGCAAATGCCTGGTCACTAGTAAGGAACCTTTATTTTTTTGTGAGGAAACTTGTTAAAGCAATTATAACATTTCAATCACAAATTCTTGAGAAATATTTAACAAGTATGTATTATTGAATGAAGAACGTGTCATCTGAATGAAGATTGAAGTTCCTTTAATCTTTTTAAAAAAATGATCATTATTTTTTAATGTTGAGAACAGTTTTTATTATTACATCATATTCAAGATATTTATACGGTGCATACATGTAAAATATACACAATATGTACACTATACTCTCACCGTATATGAAGCAAATTCTTGTTTCTCTGAATAGTCAAATACATTTTACTTAAACTCTTTATAAAATGTTACTTCATTCAAAATTTAGCACCATACTTTTGAAGAAGCAGCATAGTAGGAAAATATCACAAGTTCTGCTTTTCAATTTTACAACAAAGTAATGAATCCCAAAATAGAGTCTTGTTCTTAATTAAATAAACTTTATACTTGGTGACTTCAGATCTACATGTATATGAGTTTGACATCTTCGCCATATTTGAAAATAAGAAAGATCTGCAAATCCATTGCATAAGAATTACTGATATTTAAGAAAGTCATTTGGTTGGACGATACTCCTATCTTTCAGAGGAAATATTCTTTAACCGACATGTATTTGTTTTAGCATGTTTATTATCTGAATTCGTAATGATAGAGCTATAATGTAGTATAATCTTTTAATCAAAGAGAAAAGCAAAGTTGAAGTATGTATCATATGTTTGCAACAATGATTTATCATCATTAAAGTAAAGAAGAACGACCTTGACTTGATCTTGTCACCAAAATAAGACAATGTCCCCATTTATTGTCTTCTTCAATTTCAGCAATTTTTCAAACAGTATATAGAGTAGAATCTATTCTAAACACATTACTTATATGAGGTATATCAACAGTTAACTTTTGCAATAATATAGTCTTACCTATGGCTTTTGTATTTATATCCTTTCTTCTCCGTCCAAAATAACTGTTGTATAAACACAAACATACACACAATATCACTAATAGATGACATCAATAAGATTAAATTTGACAGTTTTATTTTAAAAGTAAGGTCAGGTCAAGGTCATTTTCTTTTTTTCTTGATATTTAGAATAAAAAAGAGTATTTTAACCAATCAACAATTATTCTTTCTTTTTTACATTAAACTATGTTACTATATAGGGTCTGTCAGATTATGTTACCGAATTGACATG